CTGTAGGCATAACAGGTTCCAATAAGAAATTGGTTTCCAATCTTGCTACAGTCCTTGATCTCTTTTATTTTTTGCACTAGCTGATAAAGACAAAAAAGTAAAGTTTTATGTCAAGATCCACACTACTATAACCAGTTTAAAAATAATTTTCCATTAATATACAGTGGTCCCTCGGTTAACGAGCACAATCCGTTCTAGAAGGCTGCTCGTTAACCGAAAAACTCGATAACCGAAACCATTGTTTCAATGGGTTTTTGGGTAATTGGTTCCAGCTCACCGAAAATTGCCTAAATTCAACAAAAATGGTAGAAAAGTACACTTACTTTGAGGTGTGTATGTAGAAGGCTCCTGGATGATGATGGGAATTAGAATGGGGGTGGAGGAGAAGGGAGAAGAGAAGGCATTGGGGTGGAAGAGAAGTCACCCCATGGCGCCATTTCACCCATAAAATTTTAGTTCTCTTGGTGTAATTCAAGATTATTTTCTTTAAATCAACACTGCACTGCATTATATATTGTCAATATGTAAAATAAATTTCAAAATGACCAATAATTTACTTGTAAACAGAGAAAAAGCATTTAGTTGAAGAGTCTCAAGCAAGATGTTACCTCCACTGAAAAGACACAAAGACTGACGCCTGTATGGTGTGTTGAGAGGCTGGATGGCACGCATAAAACCAGTTTCATTACTTTCAATTATGTTCAATAATTGTTAAAATTACTAAAAAATTTAATATTAAATTTTTTAAATTATTGAATAGTATAAACTTCTTGATATTTGCTAAAATGGTAAGGAATTTAAGCCCTAGAACCAATTACTGTATTGGCGGACTAATACTACAGCTGGTGGACCGCCAAATACAAGCGAACACATGTTCAGGTCGGCTCGTAAGAAACTCGTTAATCGAGGGATTGCTTGTTAACCGAAGTTAAGAATCTTATGGAAGGTAACTCGTTAACCGAAATCTCGTTCACCGAGGGACCACTGTAATAAGAAATTGCAAAACTTTTGACAAAATCTTGCAGGGAATCTTCCTTAGAGACAGTGCGAGTCTACGTGTTAACAATTCCTATTAAATACTGCACAGTACAGAGCAATTTAGGCCTTGTTATGAATTTTTACTTTAAGAACTTTCAACATCAGAAATTGTCAGTAATACGTGTAAACAATTCCTATTAAATACTGTACAGTACAGAGCAATTTAGACCTTGTTATGGATTTTTACTTTAAGAACTTTCAACATCAGAAATTGTTAGTAATTATGCAACATCTAAGTGAACATTAGCTAAACTGACCTTTTCTAGAAAATTCTAAAGAAACCCCAAGATCAGTGTTCCTAGAAAGGCCATTAAGGAGTGTTTATACAACCGGATCCTGAGAACTATTCCTCTATTCTATGTGACTAGGCTCTCTTACAGAGACTTCCTTGAAATGGGGCTCTGAAAGTATTAGCACTAGCTTCAGGTAAAGAATCTCTTGGACTTCGTTCTGTTAAAGGGTGCCTAAGTCAGATTTGATCATAAACTAACAACTAAAATTGAGACTGAAGTGTAGCCATAAATACAATAAGTTTTCAGTTTGTAAAGTAAAGAATAACAAACATCTTTTTGTCTGGTTTATACTATCAAATCCTATTTAAATATTGCTGAGCATCTTCAGAATATTCAGAGATGTAATTTGCAAGGCTCCAAAGCATAGAAATTTAACTTGATTACCAGACTAATTGAACTTGCTCAGCTGTATTGCACTGTGTAGCATGAGCACATGACTAAGAGGGTTATTGCTTTGTCTATGTCCATTCTGAGGCCATTTCCATCCCCGTGAAGTGGCATATTCCTCAGCAATGACCTTCATCTCAAGGTACCTTAATGATAACCTCCCTTACACAGTGTGGCTTTTGGATGTAATTAACATTAACCCCGAGTTGTTTTTTCTTTTCTAAAGTATATTATGTACTGGCTAATGTCCTAATAAGGATACATTCATCAGTTTAGTCAAAATATGATGTTCACCTCCCAATTCTTGATGGGTTTTATATCCCACAAATTAATCGACATGGGTGGCACTGTCAGTGGAACTTCAGTATGGAAGCTAGTTCTCCATCACTCATCTCGGCCTTTAACCTTGAAATGGGACTTTAAGAGTCGAGCCTTTATGTATATTGAAATTTTCATTTATATGCTTCCCTCGTTTGAGTGATTTTGGCATTATATGAGGGCTCAAAACCCTCCGAGGGTAAATGGCGAGGAATTTGAGGCGAATGTAATGGTTCATCAGGGGTCTGTTTATCATGGTGCTGGAGGCAATTTCGTGAAACTTTAGAATCGGTCTGCCCTGGGTGTTATTGTATGCTGATGTCTTAGTATTTAAGAGGCATTGGAAAAAATTTAAGTGATGAAAGGGTGAAATAGAGTCAAAGGGCCTGGGAGTCAATGTGGTGAAAACAAAAATATTGATTAATGGCATGGGTAAAGGACCTGTGGTGGAAAATGGCCATGTGCTGTCTGTAAGAAAGGTGTTGGCAGCAACTCAACAATGTGCAGCAAGTGTGGAGTTAGGTACAGAAGAGATGTAGAGTAGATAGCAGAATGCAAGTTGTTGCAGATTTTAAATTAACTGTATGCCATAGTAAGGCTGGAGAAATTCACCATTGGGGATATAGCACTGGACTGCATCACTGAGTTCTGTTACCTGGGTGAAATACAGTAGTGCTGTCATGATGTATGGCAGTGAAACATGGGCAGGTAAAGAGGATGACATATATAGGTTTGAATGAGCTGAAATGAATGGTGAGGTGGATATGTAAATTGACATTGAATAATGGGGAACCCTATTCAAAGTGGGGATTGAGAGTACTATTGACAAAGGTTTGTGTAGAGGTCAACTGAGATGGTTTGGACTTGTGGAGAGAATGGAAGAGACCAATAAGTCAAGAGATGCATAAGTCAAAATGTAGAGCGGAAGAGTGCCAGGGGCAGGCAAGGAATGACTTGGAAAGAGCTTAAGAACCTCAAAAAGAGAAGCTGCAAGAAACTGTTCAGATAGAAATCTGCCATCAGGTAATCATGGCTAACCCACACAAGCCTGGAAAATAGCCACAAAACATTGATGATGATACTGTTAATGCAAAATTATAAGACAAAATGTGCAGGCTTTGAGAGGTTATGTTGGAAAGTCTCTCTCTTACATAGATATTGCAAGCATGTAAAATTAAATACAGTACAGTACATCCAGGCAATTTGCAGATATTTATTTTCTTGGATGACACCCTGAATGTACCCAAGAATGTCTGTGGGTAGTTTAAAAGTTGCCAGCATTTTTGCGGCTGGGACAGGGAGCCATTCATTCTAGAGACTGTAATTTCCTTTACCTGTATTGTATATATGTGTGTGTGAGTGTAGACAAACACGTACAGATAAATAATAATAGCTGGAAAATCCTCTCACAAATAATCAGAAACAAATGTAGTAATAAAAACGTCGAGTCTACTCCGTGCTTTATTAATAACAAAGCACGGAGTAGACTTGAGGGCAGACTCAACATTTTTAATACTATTTTTTGTTTCTGATTATTTGTGAGAGGATTTTCCAGTTATTATTTAATTGTATGTGTTTTGCACACACACACACACGTAAAAGAAATAATTGTCTAAGGGCAAACACATCAAGGGAATATACATTTCTTTGTACAGAAGTAATAATGTAACCTCCCCCAGTCAGCCAATGTTATTCAGTTTGGCAATTCGCGGTCATTTGACAACTCTACCCGGCAAATTTTTAGGCCTACTGTCAATAAATAGGGTAAAATATACAGAGTGAATTTTTTTTTTTTTGAGTTGGAAAATCGCCCATGGTATTAATGATGTAGTTCTATAAAGAGAATCATGTGATATCTTCAGATTTGAAAAAGTTTACTAAGTAAATTTTTAACTTGAAATCTTATGAAAATTCAGTATTCTAATTCTTACCAACACCACTAAGAAATATTTAAAGCAATATATCTGTATTAATTTATTAGGATGAAAAATGATCCAGAATAGTGAAACCAATGATCTTGACATTATTTATTAAATTCTAATATTCTTTAGAAACAAAAATCACCAAATACAAAAACCGGTTTTATCACATTACTTAATTCGGGTGTTGCTGCACAACTATAGAACATAGTTTTCTTGCTTCTGTTTTCATCATCACCTCCTGCTGACCACCTGAGCCTTGATGTAGCCTTCCTCCTCTCCTGGTTGTACACGTGACTGCCATTCGGCCACTTGCTGTACACAACGCCTATACTCTGGGTGTGCGAGGGCCAGGCAGGACATGCATGGGGTTGTCCAGGAAAGCTCTGACTTGAAACATTGGTGAGGCTGCAGGTAAGGGGGCTCTACTGCCAGCCTGATGTTATCCAGATCTATGAGATCAGTGAGGGTCTTGGCACTTAGATTGGGATTCAGAGCCTTTCCAACCCTGAAGGAACTGGCCACCAACTGATTCACACGATCCTCTCATAAGTCTCATATCCAAAGACTTTTTGACGTTAATTTTCTCCTCCTTTATCTTATCAGAAGCATTGTCTGCAGAACTGCCTCGATGAGCATACCAAGATCTCCCCAGTCTGCTCCACACCTGAACAGTCCTTCCTTGGCTGGGACTCCTCAGAGTCTGCTGGAAGAGAACATGCCCCTCGACCTTTCGAGAACGATGACTTGACCTTGGTGTTGGAACCACTTGCAAGTAGACACTCACTTATGAATTGGACAATAAGTCTCAGGTTGTGAAGCTGGTTCCTTTCAGTTTATGATGAGCCACTCCAAATTCTAGTAGAAACTGAGAGCCGCTAGAGCCACCTAGAATGAGACTGACCTATCTGCAGGTAAGCAAGTCTATCAGGCATGGACCCAGAAATGTAAATCATGTAACCATAGTACTGGTCAAAATGGTGGTCACAATGAGTATGTGCTCAACGAGTGGAGGCCAACGGTGATTTTTTTTTCAAAGCTCGGA